AGCAAAGCGGGGCCCCTCCACAAAGCTGCGGACCGCTTCGCCGCTGCCGCTGCTGCTGCTGCAGCAGAAAATGTCAACAATCTGCTGCAGCGGCATGCCACATAGGGCAGCAACAGCGCAAGAACCTCCCAGCTGCTGCGCCTGCCGCAGCAGCCTGCGGCTCTGCAGCAGAGACCGCCGCTCGCTGCTGCGGGCAGCTAGGGCCCCACAAAGTCGATCTTCATACACGAGGGAGCAGTACTTATATAGGCTCTCACTGGAGCAGCTGAGGCTGTTGCTGCTGCTGCTGCTGCTGCTGCTCCTGATGCCTAGGGCTCGAGCCGCACGGCAAGCGGACGCGAGGCACAGTACCACAGCCTCCTGAAGCTGCAGCGTCTCCCTTAGCTGCAGCAACTCGTGGACTTCGAAGGCCACGGCGTCGTCAGCTCGTTTGCTGCCGTCTTTGCTGCTGCTTCCCGTGGCCTGCTGCTGCTGCTGCCTGAAACGGCAGGTGGAGGGGTCCGGCTGCTCGTTGAGCTGCGTGTACAGCTGCAGCAGCTTCGCCTCCAGCTGATGCTGCTGCAGCAGCATGGTGGCAAAGCCTCTGCAGACCTGCTGGAGCGACGCTCCCTTTTGGTTCCCACTGCTACTGCTGCTGGTGCTGCTGCTGCTGTTGCTGCTGCTGCTGCTGCTGCCAGCAGCTTGCATGAAGATGAAGTTGATGCACCAAAACATGCACAGCTGCTCGTCCTGCAGAACATCCCGGAGCTCCCTGAGAACTTGGGGATTCCGGGGGTTGACAGTCTCTCTTAGCTGCGAGGCCTCGAAGGCCGGCAGCAGCAGCTGCTGCTGCCCGCTGTGGTGCCGCAGCACGTACGCTGATAGAAGCTCATACAACACTGCTTCAGAAGGCACCGAGCAGCACGAGCATGCAGCGCCGCTGCTGCTGCTGCTGCTGCTGTTGCTGCTGCTGCTGCTACCGCTGCTGCTGCTGCTGCTCCCACTGCTGACTTGGGACGGCGTCGCCCCTCCAGAACCAGGCGAGCGAACCGCCTCAGCCCATTGCTGCTGCAGCAGCTGTATGGCGTTGCACGTAGCAGCAGAAACAGACGGGGGTAAGGCTCTGTCTACACTGGACAGGAACGAGGACCGCAGCGCGACGATGCGTTGCTGCAGCGCTGGCTGCTGCAGCAGCTGCTGCAGCAGCCCAGGACTAGTGGAGGTCGACAGAAGCAGCTCCTTCAAGTGCCGGAAAGAGGCGAGACACTTTCGCACCTCAGCAGAGACCTCGAAATCACTTGGGGGCCCCGATGCCGCCACGGCGGGGGCCCCGGGGCCCCCCGAGAAGCCTGCAGCTGCAGGCTCCTGAGGCTGCTTTCCACTCATTGGCTTTTCCTTCGCTGCATGTTGCTGTTAGGATGAGTCCAAGCTGCTGCCGAGCTGCGGCAGCAGCAGCAACGCCGAAGATGGCTGATTGAAGGCCCCCAGGGCTGCTCCGCAGCAACCGCCAAGCCTGAGCCCCTGAGCCCCGGCCTTCCCCACGGCTATGTGCAGCTTAGTAGCTTGATTCTGGGTGGCTGGGAGCTGCAGCTTGGGGGAGCGCCGCAGACACGAGCGCCGATGCTGCTCTTGCTGCTGAGTTCCCCGTGTCCCCGCTGCTGCAGCCTCCCTTTCACTGAAATTTTTCAGCCAAGCAACCCGACAAATATTCTTATCCATCATAAGAAGCTCCAAGCTTCCCACAGATCAGTCCCTCCCCGCATGCAGGGGCTGGTGTTCAGACAGCCCCAGACGTTGCATGTTTGCGCGCTCTGCCTTTCTCAGCTTCCAAGGGACATTCTGAGCCTTACCACATTCTTAGCTGACGCAAACCGAAGCCTGAATGCCAAGCCCTTTTAGTAGGCTGCAGGGAGAAAACACACAGGGGCCCCCACCAGTTGTAAGGGCCTTCACGTGGGACCCAAGGGCCCCAAGCGGTTCGCGTAGCCTTTTAGTGGTTCCAGCGTGCCTTCTTGTTCACAATTCAGGGTAACACACAGTATCTCGGGTCTAGGGTTCGAAGCTCAGGAGAAGTCGTGCAGGGTGTTGTCAGCACTATGAACTGGCTTACACAGCGGGATTAAACAACAGGGACGACAAAGAGACCAGCTGTAGTGGGCAAACGCTACAGCAAATAAGCTTTCCGGAGCATTAACACTATAGAATTGAACTTGTTCACACTTAACATTTAATTGCGCCACCCATGGTCCTGCTATGCAGTGACATGGGTGGCTGGAAATGGCCACAAAGGAAAGCCTGGCATTCTTCAGCGGCCGTGTACCTTTTTTGTGCTTATTGAGTGGACCATTCCGAGACTGTTTGTAGTTGGTATTTGCCTCAAGGTGTAAGTCGGTGCTACAGGTTGTCGCTTGCAGTGCCCTGTGGAGTTTGGATTCCCGCCCTTTGTCTTTTAAATCGTGGCCACGGCGGAACGCACAGAGCAAAATCTGAAGCGCTCTTCTCCCAGTAGGTCTCGTAGCGCGAGGGTACTGAACTGGAATCCCTGATTAGGCGCTAATGGCGTAACTTAAGACGAGCTACCTCCACTTGAGGCAGCAGGACAGGTATAAAACAAAGATATTGGTTAATGGTAACAACGCATAGCGAGGCTGCTAAGCGCGAATTCATCTGTCAAGTGCATGATACCAGCCTTTGGCAAGAGCAGACATTCACGGCCTAGACAAATTCGCATTTGAACTTCCTGTCCTTGTGAAGAGCCTTTACTGAACTCTCCTCTTAAAAGCTCATACTAAAGCATTCTCCCGAGTGTCATACTAGAGCAACCTTCAGGGTGCCTCAGCTTGAATGCAGGCTCCCTCGAGAGGGCACGTATGAGCTGATGCTAAGACTTGTAATTAGCGAGCTGGCCTCAATGAACCCTGAAAGGAAACTTCACTAAGGTCTCACACTCAGCACGTCTTCACTCGCCAATGAAAATTCCCTACGAGCTTCTTCTGCGAATGTTGCTGCTGTAGCAACACACGCGTACTGGATTCGTTTTCTGATCTCAAGTGTATACGTTGTACAGCGTTGATTTTGCTATTCAGCCAACCGAGCAGCCTTACCTCAGATATACGCCTCGGAAGCAACAAAGTGTTTTTGCTCTCCGCAGAGCTACTTGGCCCTAATAAGCTGGCCAGGTGATATGTACCAGCATGACTGTGTGCTGGCTTACACGTCACCAGAGATATATAAGATACCTAGGAGAGGTCGTTCCTGCCAGTTGCGACTACAGGCTAAGAAGTCCGTGACTACAATCCAGCTGCTAGATGAAGAAAGCCATTACAGCCGTGCCTTCTGAAGGACTTTGCGTCGTCCTTGTGGTTCTATTGTCCCCAGAGGAGTCAAGGGTGTAGGACTCGGGGGATGAATCCCTTTGATTGAAGAGGCTTAACAGGGAACAGTCCATGCCACGGCAAATGGCCGTGGCATAGACCATTTTCGGCCTAGAACGACTTCATATTCTGCCACTTTTGCTGCCGGCGACCCTGCTTCTACTCACTATATGACAGCGCAGGGCCTCGCCCTGCGCTATCGATTGTGCGTTTTCGCTTTCTCTGTGCTTGTCAGCTGTCTCGGGTTATCTCTCATTTGGTATGTGCCTACCTTTGTCTTTGCTTCTGTGTCTACCTGTGTCCTAGGATGTCATAGGATCTGGCCTCCACTACTACTACTTCGCACTAGACCTTGTGAACAACTCTTCAGGTAAAGGCCTAATAACAAAGTGAAATTCGTCCATCAATCAGGCGGCACTGAAAAGTGAAAGGCAGCACGGCCGTATGCGCCTCTTCAACAAATACGGGCCTCCTCTGGATCCTTGAAGGCCTATAAAGAGCACCTGAGGGTTCTCATGATACCCCGAAGACTCCCAAGAAGCCCATTGGGGGCTTCAGACAACGCCCCTACAGACTCTAGGGAGCTCCTTAGGGCTGCGGACCCCCTGGGAAGAAAACTAGGTCCCTCGCGTCCCCTAACGTCTCGCCGCTTTGCTATACTGGGGACTCAGTGCCTCAGGCTCACCATGCGCCGGCTGTGCGTCGTCTCAAGCCGTGCCTGCGCTTGGTGGCTCTCTGAAGATAGAAGACAGGAGGGGCCTGCGGCAGCAGCTGGTCCTATACGTGCGCACCTGCACCAAAAAATGTGCATGCAAGAGGGTGCAGCAGCGTGACAGAGCTTGAAGCCAAGCAGACAAGACCAGGCTGGAAGGACGCCAATCAAACAAAGACATAAAATCAAAAACGGCGATAAGCGTCTCCTTCTCTTTCGCCCTCTGAGAGAAAACCAGTTGCTGCACTATTTTAGAACTTTCCTAATTAAAGTGCCGCATGTTCAATTCATTAGCAAGAAAACTAAGCCCAGCTGAGGACCCCAGGAGAGGGCCCCACGCCTTCCTATACCAAGGTTCTTGGGGGCCTCCGAAGAGTCCACGGATAGCAGAAGCCTCAAAGCCTGATCCGCAGACCCGAGAGGCGTCGGAATCCCATAGATATTGCACTAGCCCCCAATGACGATAACTCTCGCCACTCCTCTCAGCACTGCGTCAACTGGCAGCACTTCTGTGCCACTGGCACTTTCGAGCACTTTTGAGCCCTTTTGGATGCATTCGCCCGTCTTCTTATCTCAAACCGCCGTTCGCGTCTCACACGTTTTCTGTCATATTGCCTTCTCTCTCTTGTCCTGCGGTTTGTCACTTGCTGTCTGCCCTCGAGGCAGCGGCATCCTTGGCCTGCCAGCTGCGCTTCACGTCTGCTGTGACAGATTCAAATTCTATCCCACAACAGTGTTGAACGTTGCCCATTCCTCATCTCTGTCCAGCCTTTCCTTGCTCCTACAAATGCTGTGTCTACAGCAGCGAAGGTAGTAGCAGTTGCTCTGGCTTCACCTCCTCCCTAGTAGATACACAGTGGCCAGTCAGTTCTTCCAATGCCCTCAAAGGAACAAAGCCGACTAACTTCTCTGTGACTGTGGCTGTCTGTACTCTCTCAAGCTGCCGTGTCTAGTTGGCTTTCAGCGTCGTCTTCCACTGCTTCCCCAGCTTCTGGCGCCGCTTCAGCCTCCGTTGTTTCCTCCAGCTGCAGTGTCTGCTCAGCCTGGAGCCCAGCTTCAGGCTGCATTTGCAATTCGGGCTCCGCTGCCTCCGCATCCTCTTGCGTCTCCGCAGTTTCCTTCTTTTGTTGATCTTTGTACACTGTTTGTGTATCTGCTGCTGGCTGTTCTGCGTCCATGTCCTTCGCTGCAGAAGCTTCTTGTGCGTCTATGCCGCGCCGGAGCTCGTAGGCAGCAATGGAAAGCTCGTTGGCGTTGTACCTGGCCTTGGCCGCAAATTCTGCCACCTCAGCAATATCTCGGGCCTTCTGCACAGCCTTTAGGGCCCGAGTGCACCCTAAGGTAGCGAGCTGAATCCGCTCCGCCTGCGGCGTCCCCTGCAGCAGCGCTTCAGGAGGGGTCTGCGCCACCACCGAAACGGCCTCCTGCAGATCGGACTCCAGCAGGGTGAGCAGTGTGAGCTCATACTCCAGCTGAGATGCCTCGTACACCGTCCCCTCCATCTCGACAGCCAACTCCACTGTTTCCTCTGCTGCAGCCTTGGCCCTCACTAGCTCCTCCGTTGGCTTCCCGTGACCCAGCAGGCTGTGCTGCTCGGTGCGCTGCACATAACGCCTCATGCTGCCACACAGGCGCTTGATTAAGGCATTCAGCGACAGAGCGTCTTTGTACACAGTCTCGATCACGGCACGGGGGACCTGGTGCTCCCACTTGCCCTCAGGTGAGCTGAAGCTGGGGAAATTCTCATTTAGCATGCTCTGCAGAGAGCTGATGCGTTCAGTTGCTGCCTGCTGGTCTACGGAAAAAGCTTCTGCAGAGTCCAGCGCCACGCTTAGGGTCATTTTCTGTAGCGAGTGGTTGCCGAAGGGAAACATGAACTTCAGTGGGGGCAGATGCTCTATATGCCTCCATATCCTACTGATCGTCTTGTCGAGCTCCCTCTCCAGGTGCTGCGCATCCGCATTGCTCTTGCGGAGCTTGCCAGGAGAGTCGCTGTCTCGGACTGCTTCGTAGAGTTCGGTGTGAGCGGCCAGCCCGTTCTGGGCCGCCTCTATGTCTTCCGCTATGGAGGCCAGCGTGTCCTTCTCCTTTTCAGTCGACCGATTGGGCCAGGCCTGGGACACCGCCCGCAGAATCTCCACAGCCATCTGCAGCTCCATATCCATCCAGCGGTGGCTCTCGCTGCGGCTGGTCACGTAGAACGCCGTCGCAGTGTCCACTGCGTCTCCCAGCAGCGCTTCGCGGCGCTCCACTCCCTTCATGAGCAGCGTGGTTGTCCTCATCACAAACTGTGCGTCTTCAGCTACCCTCTCAACGCCCTCGCGATCTCGGGGCTTCTGCGCCACTGCCTGCTTCAAGTGCTGCAGCCCCGCATTCGCCCGCTGCAGCAGAATCTCGTGCTGACGCTGCAGCGACTCCAGTGTCAGTGAGACCGCCTTCAGGTATTCGTGCTGCCGGCCCAAGAACTTTATGGAGGAGGCCCAGGCGCCCAGGTGGAACTTGGGGGGCAGCACCCGCACGCTGTCTTCAGCCACTTCTGCTGCAATATCCATCACACAGACTAAGTCCTCCGCGAGGTCATCCACGGTGGCTTCCAAACGTTTCCAGGTCTCCGCTGCTGCTTCTTCGCTCGCGGCTGCTTCGCCAGCCTCCAACAGCGCCTCTGCTGCAGCCAACTGCTGTTGCAGCCGAGATGTTACATCCCACGCCGTCGACTCCACCATCAGCGAAGTGATGCGTGGGACGCACTCCAAATTGCTTCGCATCTCCTCGAGCCTCTTCTGAAGTTCTACAGGGGGATGGAAACGCTTTTGCTGCAGTTTTGCTGCTGCTCCGTCTGCCTTTGCTCGCTTGCCATCGCCCTCTAGGCCTGCTGCCTTCCTCCGCGACGCCGAGTGCACTTCAGCAGCATCCGCCACAGCCGCCACTGCTGCTGCAGCTTGCCCGGCTCTAGACTTGACAGCATCAGCTTCTTCGGCTGCTACCTTCAGTGCTGCTGCTTTTGCTGCTGCGAACTCGGCGGTTTTCGACTCCGCTGCCATCGCGGCCTCCGTGGCTGCTGTTTCTGCTGCTGCTGCTTCCTCCGCTGCGATTCTTGCTGCTAGCGCCTTTTCTGTTGCTATGGACCACGCATGCAGCGCCACCTCCCGCGCCTGCGTCGCTGCTGCTTCTGCTGCTGCTGCGTGCGCCATTAAGAGCTGGGCTGAATTGGACCCAGTTCTCTGCGTTTCTTCCTGCTGCTTGCCTATTGTTATTGTTGGCCGCCGCTTTTGCTGCCTCCTTGTTAGAGTGGGCCTCCGGCTCGAAGCAAATGCATCAAAGACCCCCACAGAACTCTCTGCTGCTGCTTTCCCTGCAGGCACTGCGGCCCTGCCAGCCCTGGCTGCTGTTCCTCGGCGGCGGCCCCGTCGCGGGCGTCCCTGGGCCACGTCCTGGCCCTCCTGCAGGTGAGAAATTGCATACCACAGCAGCACGAAAGCAGCAGCAGCAGCAAGAGAAATGCTGCCGATTAACAACTTGTTGGGCTTCTTCCGTGCTGCGGGGACTCTGTGGGCGCTCGAGGGGCCCCGCGGCAGCGGCTGCAGCTGCGCCTGGAAGTTCTCTTGCCGCTTCTGCCTATAGAATGCCCCCACAGGCGTCAAATTAGCGGCGGCAGTACCTGTTGCATCTGCAGCACTATCCGGAAACTCTTCCGCTCGTGAGCCCAAGGCCGCAGCCTGCCAAGTCGCTGACCCCGCCAACTCCTCATCTTCTGCAGCTACAGCAGCAGAAATTGTTTGCTGTGACTGGCCCAGTACAGTGGGCCAGAAGGCAAAAAGACAAAAAATGAACAGCACGAGAGAAACGGGGCGAGGTAGCCGCAGCCGCAGACTATTGGGGGGAAGCATCGTGAACTGCTCTCTGCTGCCACCGCTGCTGCCTCCACTGTTGCTGTTGCTGCTGCTGTCTCTAAAGACACAACAGATAACAGTGGCAGAGCCAAGTTGCTGCAGTGGCTGCTTTACTGGCCGCAGTTCGGGCTCTGCCCGCTATTAGCGACGTCCCACGCAATCCGCCTTTTCCATCAGCCGCACAGCCATGGCCGCAGCGTCGCTAAAGCAGCGAGCAGCTTAGAGCAGCAGCATAAAGAGAAGAGAAGGCACAGCAGTAACGGCAGCAGATAAAGCACAGCAACAGTTTGGGGCCTCGCGTTTTCAAGTAGATGCAATCAGGGCCTTGCAAATCATAACCCTGTGCAGGAGGGACGCATAAGGGAGAAACGAGGGCCAGGGGAGCACACCCAAGTGAGTTTTCAATGAGGTATCCGGGAAAAAGAAGGGGAAAAGGGGAAAAAACCAGTAAAGAGAGAACTACTCCAGTTAGAGGGGGACAGTCGCCTCCCGCTCGCTTTACCAGTCGGAAGTAATCGGACGAGCGGCGCAGAAATTCAGTATATCCTTGTTTTAATAAAGATCCAGTTTAAGAAAACAAAGTTAACGGGAAAGCCCAGAGAGCACGAAGGGGCCCTTGTTGCCTTGCGTGATGTGACTACGGCACTCGATCGAGCCATTGAGCATGCGCAGCAGAGAACTAGCAGTCGCAGCATTTCTCCTATACATACTTCTGCGTCGATTGGTTAAAAAACTTAAAACAGAATTATAAAACATAAAAAAGTGTTAATCGCCTCCTAAGGGCCTACACTGGAGCACCTCCCCGTGTTCCTCATCGAGCGTGGGGCGCTACGGTCAGTTTGGACCGTTGGGAATTCACCTAACAGAACAGTGGCTTCTGCGCTACAGCCTGACAAAAAGTAGCATGCCTTAATGCATTTTTATTCCTGCGTGGGTTCTGTTGAAAGCGGGATCCTGCAACTCCAACGGCAACTGTTGCAGCAACCCTACCGCGTGAAGTGTTCCTGCAAAAGACACGCCCGCTCCTCCACAGGCAGTTGAAGCAACCGCTGCAACACGAAATAAATCAGCAGCTGCAGCTGCTGTAGCAGCTGCAGCTGTGGAGATCCTGCTGAAGTGATCCGGGAACTGCGTGTGCCCGTAGCACTCCATCATCCATCCGCGTCTGGGTAGATTTAAAAATTTATGCGTGCACATTGGCAAGTTTTGCTGCCTTGATGCAGTGAACCGCAATTAAGTACACTTTAACGGCCTTCCAGACCTCAGTAATCCCAGTGTAACGTTGTGCGGCCCTTTGAGTCACGCTGGGCTGGCTAGGAAATCCCGCAGATATGTCCCACATTTTGATTTGGTGCTGTCACGCAGCGGAATATGTTAATGTCCACCTGCACATGCATGGAGCAGACGCCTGAGGGCATCTGGCAGCTGTGGGCTGATGAACGACTCTCGACACCGAAGCCATTCCAGCAAGACAAAATGCGCCTTTCTGCACCTTACTTCCTACCGATGGCCAAGACTGCTACCAGCGGTGATAGGAGCCTCCTATCCCCATACAACGAACATAGTACGGACTAGAGGGGAGAGCTATTGATGGCCCCGTTGGACCTCTGGCAATTTTTAAGTATATTCTTTTTGAGGGCGAGGGCCAAAGCTCAGCAGGTACTATCTGTAATAAGCAATTGATTGAGGCAAAACACCATGAAAGTAATCTTACTAGCATCTTATTAGAGTTGCTGAAGAGGCTTCCCCGTGAGCGACGGCTCCTGACTGCTGTCGCAACCTCTGCGCATTGCCAAAAAATTGCCTGAAACACATATTTGAGGTGCTTTAGAGTGAGAAATTGATCAGAATTGTTGCCTGGGCTCGTATGTCCCTTGTCTCTCTGTAGAGGCTGCGTCTCCCCTGCTGCCGGCATGTGGAACACTATTGCCACTACTAGCTGAAGCGGTTCCCTTGCCCTTTCAAAGCTTTCCTGGGCCTTACCTGAGGTGCATTAAGTTGTGTTTGGGGACCTGTGCAGCCTCTATAGACAGCCTAGCACCATGTCATTGAGCTTTTCCTGAGAGATGGAATCCCTTTCCAAGCCTGTCTTTAGCTAACAGAATTGCTCTAAGCATGCATTCCGAAATGCTTTAGGGTGTATGGAAGAGGACTTCAAAAATTCTTCTTACGAATTAACTAGTCTTGGGGGCAGAAGCAAATAGAGCGGCACTGGATTGTACTGCATGGGCACCCTTTAGCCTACTCATCAGGTAATGCGTTTTCATTAATCACGCATTCATGAAAATATATGAAGAGGGACATCAGTAACCATATGCACACACAACACTGCATAAATGCAAGAATATGCGGCATTTCATGAATCTACACGTACCCGCAATGGTGCATTGATACACACATGCATCCATACATAAAGAAAAGCTGTTTGTGTAAGTAAGCATGTGTAGACACGCTCTTCTGTTTCTGCAGCGCATCGAACGTTCATGAGCAATGAAGCACATTCTGAATACATTGGAGCACTTGTGTGCATCTTGTACAATGAAGCCTTGGTAGATGCATGCTTTCACGCGTTGACTTCGGCGCGCAACTGCTGATGCAGTGCATCTGCGCCTCACACGTGCTTTCTCACGTTGGCAGGGCAGAAACCTTCAGGCAGTTGCTGTTCCAAGTAAGAGGACAGGCTTTCAGAAGCCCGCCTCGTTGCTAGTTTCCGCTGAGGCCAGCATGTTGGCCTACTGCGTGTCCGCCTTGTCCACTCTGGTATTGTGTCTCGGTACAGCTGTCAAGCACTCGCTGTGCGGTGAAGGTTAGAAGAGGCAGATTTGCCTGCTGCTGCAGTCTGGCGAAAGCTTCATTGAGCAAACCTATACCAAAGGCCACCACGAGGAAAACCTGGCACTGGCTATCTCTATTCATACCTTGTACCTACTCTGCCCTGAAAATTCACACTGTCACCGCCATATATGCGCTCTCCGTGTCTCCGGCTGGAATGAAACCCTCTGAAGTCTACCTGTTTAGATTTATCCTTTACGGGTTAGACCTTAGCCGGTGAGCCGTGTGATTTGTCTGTCACTCGGCTGTGCAGCCGTTTGTGAACAAGAAAAAGCTGAAAAGAAAATGGCTGTGCAGTACCAAATGAAACGGATTAGAGCATCGGCAAATAAGGCAGGGAGGCAATAGTTGCTGTATCACACTTCCTTTCCTTCAAATTCCTTCCCTGCACAGTCTGCCACGGCTACAGCGTAGGTCTCTTGTACTGCTCCTAAATTTCGGCTCTTGTAGAGTGTCAGGGCATGAGGTGCTGCATTCTAAAAAGAGGCAGTTTGGCTCCCCTTGGGCTTGCCTTGAAAACTTTTTGCACACTTTTCATGTTAAAGCTGAATTTAGTTCGATTAAAAATAATATTCGGCGTGGGCGGAACAGAGATTTCGGGGCCTAAACCCGTCAAGGGTCCCATAGCTTCCCTTACTGTGAAACCCTCGTTGAATCCAGGCCCCTTTACTGGCCCCTCCATTCGACAGGATGTGTAAGACTGTATCTGTATATTAAATTTATGGCTTACTAACCCCTTCCAGCTCTGGCTGCCCCTAGAGAGTGTCTGTCTTCTCTTTGGCTGCAAGGGATCTTGTAACGCGCGCATTTGGCAGAGCCAGCACACATGGTATTTTAAGATTCAGTCGGAGGATACTGCTGCAGGAGAATGGCCTTTCTCTTCCTGAAGCTTTCAGGAGACTCGGAGATGGAAGGCATTTCTGGGCGGAAAGAAGCGGAGGCCCCACTCTGGGAAATGTTGCCTTCTTCCTGTTCCCCCAAGCTTCGTTTGCTGCTGTCCTCACCTTCTGGCTGGGGCTGCTGCCTCTGGGAAGCCAGACGCCGCTGCAGGCGCAAAGTGTGCCGTATGAGGCCCCGCACAGCCATAGACAGAGCCTTTACCATCCTTCGCAGCCTTTCGTTCTCCATACGAAGGCTCTCACTCTCTGGATTCTGTTGGTTTCCCGTGTCTGCTTCTCCAGAAACCTGGTGCAGGCCATTGCCCTGCGGCTCGGTGCTGCTGCTGCCTGGTACAGCTTCTTGGCTAGCTGCGCCCTGCTGTTTCAGACGCAGCACGATCACCCGCTGCTTGAGCGCCGGTAGAATGGCCCTTAGAATTCTGGCGACGCGCTGCCTTCTTTCGTTCAATTCTCCTGCTTGGTTGCTTTCTTCTGCATTTGGTGCATCTGCACGGGCAGAGAGAGCAGCTGCCGTAGCGCCAGTGGCCAGTTGTGCTTGCTGCCTGGTGAAAGGCATTTTTATCTTCCTGCTGCCCGCTATCCCAGCGGCCTTGTTCACTTCCATCTGCACGTTGTTGAACCGCAGGTGGGCATTGAACCCGTTAATTCGGAGGTCACCTCGTGTACTCGAAACTTCATGGCCCGCCTTCAAGAGCCGTGCGCCCTTAGCCTTGACAGTGATGTTCCCTAATTTGTCTCGCGGTGCTGGAGAGGGCCATTCGGAAGCTCCCAGGGGCACACCCCTGAGTCCAGGGAAGGCGGGCGTTGCGCTGCAGGCGCAGACAGACGCCAGGAGGAGGAGGAAGCCGCAGCATGAGACTCTGTGGGAGCTTCGCTGTGTCATTGTAAAGCCCTTGATTTATTGCCGCCTTTTTTTAAGCCTAATGAGATTGGAGACCTGAGGTTGGGTCAAGAAGCTGAGAGACACGCAGCTAGCGGCAGGCCAGGCCTCGAGGCAGCACGCACGAGTAGAGACTGGGAAGCGACGCGCTCCTGGAGAAGGGCTTGTGGAAGTAATTGGTTTAAATAAAAGTAAAAAAGTAATTTTTAAGCTCAACTGAGAAAGAAGAAATGCGGGAGGAACGCCAGCAGCAGGAAGGCACGAAGCGTTGAGCTGCGGTTGCCTGTGGCGCCTCGACCCCAAACCGGCCGCTCTTCTGCCCCCGTTGCTGCTGTGCTGCTGTTGCTGCTCTTGTGGTTGCCGATGCGGCTGCGGTGTTTATGTCCTACACACCCCTGAAATATTTCTTGTGTGTGTACTCTGAAATGTGCGCAGCCCTAGGAACAGCTTTTAAAGGACCATTTCAGGCCTCGGTGGCCCCGGTGTGTCTCGAGGCCGAAGACAGCGATGGAGACCGGCAGCCTTCGCAATCTCTAGTTGCCTTTCTAATTTGTTCCTCCAATCTTGTCGGCTCTATTGAAAAAACATAGTTGAATTTCCTGATTGCGGGAATCCCGAGTCGCAAACGGCCAGGAAATGGCCCAGGCCCCGAACGCCTCTGTCTTCGCGGTGTCCCCAAATCCCTCTTTGAGGTGCCCAATGAGCGCCCCTTCATGCGGCATACATAGAAATAGACTCTGCAATCAAAATACCTGCAGCATGCTAGCTGCACTTGTATCGGCTGAACAGCGTAAAAAAAGTAATGAAAACGTCTGCCCCCACTGCAGTGTACCACTGCTGTTCGTCTTGTTCCCCATATGGCCCCTAAATACTGCTAAAGATGGCTAAGTTCTTGACGCTGTGCAGAAAAGGCAGCCGTTTCTGCTGCTACGAAGCCGTCCAAGACAAGAGGGGCACAAGCCAGTATCTGTAGAGAATGAGTCCTCAGCTCCTAGCCCAATGAGACAATTCCGCATCACGAATTTCAGGTGCAAGTGGCAACCAACCAATAGACGAGCTTGACACTAAGACCGCGTAAATACATTGGTGGCTTCACCAGGGGATTCTCGATCCCGAAGCCACTCAAACACAGGCCAGAGCTCCCAAGACGCCCTCGCTCCTCAGTCTTGCACCGAATTGCCTGACTAGCCTCTTCCTCTATCAGCTGTAGGGGCCATCCCGGCCGTCAAGCCAAATGTGACGGTCGCTTGCTGCAGCTTAAAGCTGCGACAAAAATTAATACACTAGAACGACGGGGTAAGCAAAACATCCCCAGAAGCCCCGCGGTTCGAATTGCTGTTTCCTTTGGGGTTGGTCTCGCTTCCACCTAACCGCCCTATGAGTCCCCATTAGTGCAAACTCCTTAGTGCAAAATCCAGTTGCGTTTCTGCCCCTGCTCCTGCTGCTTTGGTTCCCTGAACCTGCTGCTGCACTCTTAAATTCAAAATGCTGGAAAGTCCGTGTTGGCAGTGCGTGAGGGATTCTTCTTACAAGCTAATGCAGGATGAGCGAGATGAAGTGCGAGTGGTTAAGAACTGCCTTTGGATACACAAGCAGGCTGAAGCAGCTCTGCACCTGCCAGCAGACGAGGAGTAACTAGGTTCTATGTATGGAGACAATTCCGGTTGCTTGCTTCTGCTTCTTTCTCTTCCCTATAACACGTTATATTCAAAGAGGTCGAGCAAGCAGCAGCAATGTTATGGTCACTGCAGCAAAATTCAGCTCCAACTCCCACTTCTTGGCTTCCCCTAAAGCCTAAATGGGTTCCTCGGAGTACTTTGGGCATTCTTATAACCGTGATTGAAAAAGACAACAGGATGGGCGCGAGCAAAAGCAGCACGGCATGAGACAGCTGGAGACTATAACGTAAGTGGCCCTTCAATTCACTTGACATGAGGTCCTTACGCTATGCATACGGCTCCCCCGGCCAACTCTGGCTATCTTGGTATGGAAGCCACAAAAAGAAGAGCTGTCTTGTCTAGCCCTCCAAGCCCCACCACTGGTGGGGCCCAAAGGGGCCTTTCTGGGCCTTTACATACTCTACACGTCATACGTCGTACGCAGAAGCCACTGCCTGACAGCTGTCTCTAATTCAAGTTTCACAATCTATCTGCGCGAGCAGAACGATCAGAGGGCCACTCTGGCATTTCTCGTGCATTTCTGTGCAGTGCCCTCCTTGCCACTGGCGTATTTTCTCCAATTCTCCAATTTCAATTGACTTTTTTCATCTCCTGGCCTTCCGCATTCTCAGGAGTGCGCTTCTTCCTGTAGAGCCAGCGCTGATACAACATGATTATGAATACCACGTCGTCACGGAAGACGCTCATCCTAAGAACAGACACATACACACGCGTGCTCAGGCGCCTATGCACTTGCGTGCATCTAAACATCCATGTAAAAATATATATATATATATATGCGTATGCGTGTGATATTAGTAAGTCTTTCTGTATAGTGCATACACACATTTTCTTTCCGGCACGGACAAGCAGCTGGATATGCACATGATCGTGCAAGCGTCTATACACATGCCTCTATCTACATGTGCGTGCGTCAACTCTGTATGTGCTTCAGTTTAAGCAGTTCGCAATAGTTCGAGCGTTCCGTGCGTTTCCAAATGTAAAGAGCTATTTTCTCACCTGTGCATCTTCGGCATGCGAATAACATAAGCTGCGACATCATCTACAAAGGTGTTCACAAACTGGCAGCAGAGGACGCGCCAAGGCATGTACTCAACGGATTTTAAATAATAGTTGCGAAACAACTGAGGGGTCATTGCCACAAAGCCCAGACCGTAGCAGCAAACTGCTGCGCTTGTTATGAACCATGACCACCTGAGCCAGCACCGCGCGACACACATACACAGGCAAACACAAACACATGCTGGTGCATTAGCTGCGGTTTAGTTGTATACACTGTGCAATGTACAATTTTCCACAAAGCATTATGCAAATGGAAATGTACACAAACAAGATCTTGAGCACGCGCTAGAGAAGCACACATCCACATACATGGGAAGATGTACAGGCAACGCGACAGACGAAAGGCAGAGATACCCGTAAGGACAGGCGGCCAAACTAATGCCGGTAGAGTGACAGATAAAAGAGAAAACTAGAGAACAAACAAGGCTCAATGGCCATCCGCATACATGGGAAGATGTGCAGGCAACGCGACAAACCAAAGGCAGAGATACCCGTAAGGACAGGCAGCCACACTAATGCCGGTAGATACTCACCAGCCCTTTTGAGGAACGTACACCAACTGGTAGCCACCCACTCCAAGGATGAGAGGAACCACAAAGAAGTAAAACAAATTCCTGCGCAGCCAATACAGAATATCGCCGGCTTCATCGCTGAAAAGCTGTCGCTGAAAAGCTGTCGTTCACAGCTTACGAGCTGGAATATGAGACAGACTGGGACAGAGGCAGCCCTGTTTGATTCTCTGCACATGCAGCCCCAGACAGCGAGACCAGGGTAGTGCGCCTACCGCATGCATTTGGCTTCGAAAGCCTCAGCGCCCTGCCGTGTCTTGTCATCAAGAATTGGAGTTTGGGGCCCTCCTGCTTGTGTGTCTTTGGTGGCATCAGCCGCCCCCTTCTTCCTAATAACTACGAACGGATACTGCAGCTGCACAGACACCCGAACCTGCAGGGAACAACACGGACACAAGCAAACTGGGGAGAAAAATGAAAAACTAAAGACCCCAGTAATTCCGGTCGCACCTATCCAAAAAAGCAAAACAATATGTGCCAGCTCAATACTGCAACCTGTGCCACAACAGCAGCTGTAGCATGCTGCAGCTGTCGCAGCTCGAGCAGTAGCGGCAACTGGTCTTCTGCGTATCGTAGAGCCTCATTGAACCAAGTAGAACGAATGCGGGCCCCACAAACTCACGAATTTGAGCATTTTCCAAAGGTTGAGGAGGATATGGAGACAAACGAAAAAGAGGGGAAGGCGAGATTCGTTCTCGTGAAGGTAAAGAGCCACCACCACTTCTGTCAGCACCTCGTACGCCAAAGTTCGTAGCTAAAATCAGACCGCAGGAAGCGCAGGCGCCCAACTACAATTAAGGACAAATAGCTGCTTCAATGTGTTGATATTTCAGTCTGTATCACGTAGAGTCACAGAGCTTCCTGAATTCTCTTTCGCAGGGATTCGTGAGAACTGGTATATTTATGTCTGCATGAATATCATATACACGCGAAGTACCACGCAGATTTGCGTTTCAAGATTATGCATTCTGTACTTAATAGGAAGCTGCATTCAGAACAGCGAATACATTTATGAACAGTGCACTGCATTTGTGTGTGTCCAAATGCCTCCATGGCTACCTGCCGCTTCTCAATACATGAGTGGACTTCTGTGCACATATTACACGACTTGCAACTTGTGCATGCATAGGTACTAACCGAAAAGTATCCACTGGGGTCTCTTTGCTTTCTCCAGAAGGAGAAATCCGCCTGCAGGGCCATGAGCTCCAGGAAGCAGTGGGCGAGGGAGAAGAAGAAAATGAAAACGAGAATGGCAAATGAATTTTTTTTTGCTGCTGCTGCAGCTGTCATCTTGAGCGAGTTCATGTCGTAGGCATCCAGGCCCAACTTGTCCTCCAGCAGCGCGAAGCTGCTAGCCAGCATCTGCTGCAAGAACCAGTAGGCGAAGCCTGCAGCAGCAGTTCCACAGGACACAGTTGCAGACACAGACGTGTGCATACGCATATGCATATGAAAGTGAAGTCGGAAACAAACAGAGCAGGGACACACAAACAGCGCACATACGCGCATTTGCATATGCACGCGGAAACGGGCATTTGCAGTATGCACATGAACACGTATACACACACCCATGAATGCATTGACGCACTTGAACAAGACTGGCCCGATACTGTTAAATACGCAGGAGATATACTCATGTCCCATATACACGAGCTAGCTGGGTGACTCTGCACAAGATAGCCATTACGCCCAC